ATTCTCTAAAAAAAATATACCATATACTTTTTACAGCGTTATTATATTTCAGAAAGAATTGATAGAACTTTATATTCTTTTTTATTCTATGATGAAAACGTCTATGTTATCAAGGTGTAGCAGCGCCTTACAAGAACAAAAATATAGACTCGTCTCCCCTTTTAAACATCACAAACTTCTAATCCAGTTTTCTCTCAGTTTGAGGAGTTGCTCTTAAAAATTATTCATGTTTTTTTCTGTTTCTTTCCTTTTATTGTGGAGAATATTTTCTTAAAGATATAAATAACAAAGGGAGAAATAAATAAGTATTGTAGCTTCGTTCGTGTTGCCAGAAATTTTCATAATTTCACTCCTTGTTGGCCGAAAATCTTCACAACCTCACTCTTTATTGACCAAAACTCTTCACAAACTCACTCCTTATTGACCAAAACTCTTCATAATCTCACTTGAAGCATCACAGAATATTTCAAGGACCACTTTTATGTTATCCCATCAAAAGTTATAAAATTCCCGGGCTTTTCTATACATCCTTACAAAAGCGACACAGGATAACACACTTGAGAGATAAGAAATGACCTATATGTGATTTTTTGTTTGTTTTTCTCTACAATCTCTGTGGACACGTAACCTTTTCTGAATTTTATTGCCTCATCCATTTTAAGAGCTCATAAAGTCTTCTTATATAATTTTCAGTGGTTTTTCAGATCGTTTGAAACCTTTAATTAGGTTTGACGTTTTTCCAAGGCTCTTATATTTTCCCTCTTAACCTAACCTAACCTACTCTACCATATCCTAACCTAACCTAACCTAACCTAACCTTTAACTAAAATATCAAGACAAAATAGGAACTAAATTTTTCACGGCAGCTGTACTATCAAATGGCCTCCTCCCAAAAATGGCCTCCTCCCAAAAATGGCCCCCTCCCAAAAATGGCCTCCTCCCAAAAATGGCCTCCTCCCAAAAATGGCCTCCTCCCAAAATGGCCTCCTACCAAAATGGCCTCCTCCCAAAATGGCCTCCTCCCAAAAATGGCCTCCTCCCAAAAATGGCCTCCTCCCAAAAATGACCTCCTACCAAAATGGCATTCACTCTAACAGGACCATGGATAAAAATGGCCCTCACTTTCAGATCTGTAAATATATACTTAGTGGTTATTGCCTCTTTGTCTTCTCCGTTGTTATATCTCCGTCTTTCTGCTTCTCATACATATATACTGTACACTTGTTCTCTGGAAATGTGTCTTTGTGGTGTGTGTGTGTCTGTGTGTGTGTGTGTGTGTGTGTGTGTGTGTGTGTGTGTGTGTGTGTGTGTCTGTGTGTGTGTGGGGAGAGGAGAAGATAGGAGTGCCTCTGTTACTACTGTGTGTGTGTGTGTGTGTGTGTGTGTGTGTGTGTGTCTGTGTGTGTGTGGGGAGAGGAGAAAGATAGGAGTGCTTCTGTTTTACTTCTGTGTGTGTGTGTGTGTGTGTGTGTGTGTGGGGGGAGAGGAGAAAGATAGGAGTGCCTCTGTTTTACTTCTGTGTGTGTG